TCGTCTGGTGAACAACCCAAGCCACAAATATTTAAGACCCTGTCGACCAACTTGTTTCGTTTCGTTCGAAAACGATCAAAAACCGAAAGTGAGTGAAACAAGCGCCTTGGAATACAATTTTCTTTTTCAACTGCAATATTTCGGGATCTGTACACAGTTGCAGACAGATTTTATGATGCATCTGTCAGCGTTCACCGCTCAAGATCTGAACTGGAGGCCAATCGATCTATTTCTGGGCCTGGCCCGATGCAATCATTCGATTTTATTGCCGAAGATAAAGCATTTATGTAGTGCCGTAAAGATTGACTTGTTTAGGACTCTCGGAAAGGAGAATAGGGCCAGAGAATAGGGGGCATAATAGATGTTTTAGTTGGATCTGTAACACTTCCATTGGTGCAGCTTTAACCTATTCCTATCCATTCCAGCTAAGCCAAAATTAACCTCATTTTCGTGCAATTCTTTGCCTATTTTGCATTCGCGATGCACCTTTTGGACGACGACGCCCGCCCACGCGAAGAGGTGAAACTGAGGCAACATGCTAACCTCAATTCACGGCTTGACGGGGTCCAGACAGGCCGACAGACAGACGGACGGACAGACAACAGCTGTTTGCTGTCACACTCTGACTCTGATTCTAGCCGCTGCCTCTTCCCACCCACATATCTCACCTGGGCTTTGCATCATAATGAAATCCACAAGATACACAGACAACTCTGGCAATCACAGTTAGTTCTCTCCCTCTGTCCCTCTCCCTCTCCCACTCTACATTATATAAGCAATCTCTCCTCTCTCTCTTTGCTTAGCCAGCAGAGCATTAAATACGATTTTTGTTCAGACTTCAAGGCAAAATTCGTAGACAAAAATAAAAGAAGAGGAATCTCTTTGCATATACTCCTCCCTCCCCTCCACAGAGGCATTCCCGTTGCTCTGGAACATCTTTTGTTTGGATTCTGCTGGCCATCCAACAAGTCTCTAATTACCACAAAATGCAATGCCTGCCTGAGTTTTCTATTCGGTTTTCCTATTTATTCCGTTTTCGTGCTTTATTTCGGCCTGAAAACAATGTGGGGAACAGAGGGCGGACGGACTCATTGCCAGGCTTATCGAAATGTTCGACGAGTTTTATGGCCGAGATGCCCTTGTCGCACACAAAACACACAGACACAAATAAAGAAAGGTCAAACAAGCTATAGGAGGTCATGACTGATAATGTTCTAATGTCTAGTCTATTGAGAGGAATTAATTGGGAACGGAGCTGTTGTTCTCGCGGAACTAGTTCAAAGAGGAGCACTTTCCAAACGGAGTTGCAATTAGCTGAATATCACACATTTGGTTTACTGAACCAAGGCAATTAAAACATTAATATTTAATGAAGCAAACTTTCCTTTTTTTTGACAGCTTTGTCCGCCGAGATCTCAATATCGGTTCAACAATTTGCTGCCTTACATACTCGTAGTCGTACAAGAAAATTATCATTAGCCCCAGCAAAATTGAATTCCACAAAATATTTGCATACAATCGGCTGGCTTTATGGATGGGTGGGGAGCTCATTAAATGCAAATTTTTCTCATCTGCGCATTTTTCATGCAACAAAGTAGGAAAATGTTGGCAAAAGGAAAATCCAACAAAGAGCCAAAGAGTTTTCGGAAAGATCGAGTTTCCGATCCATTGTTGGTTCATGTGCAGCGATTTTTTTTTAACGAAAATATTCACATTAAATTATGGTAAATAAGTATTAAGCAAAATTCAAATATTGTGTGTTGATTACAGAAAGAACACAGGACAGGACACAAGACACACAAGGCCCACCACCAGTGTCGATTGAAAGCCGCGAAACGCGAAAACATACTGAATGGAACCAGAACCACAAATTCAGGGGCACAATCATCCAAAGTATTCCCAAAGAGAGCAAGAGAGAAGATCCCCAGAGAGGGAGACTGCGACTGAGAGCAATCTTTATAAATAGGAAAAATAATAATCAACAAACAAAAGTCAGAGAACGCACGAAACGATCCTCTACGGCTGGGCTGGGCTGGGCTGGGGCTGGGGGTATCAACAATCCACAATTTCGAGAAAAACTTTTCGCCATCTGTGTGTCCGAGGGTGTCTCTCTCTCGGCTCCTGCATCTCTCTCCCACATACATGTATATGTATGTTTGGTTCTTGACTCAGCGACAACGCATAATTATGAGGAATTTAATAGCAGCCGCCCATGCCCTCCCCCTCCATCGATACGCAGCCACAAACAAAAGCGCAAGTGAATAAGCAGGGACACGAACCAACAGCAGACCCGAGCAGTGGCCCGAGTCGTAAACGGACGGGACGCATGCGGGATGGTGTCTGCCTCTGCCTCTATCTCCTTCTTCCGTTGATGTCATTGCCTGTTTTTGTTGCTCTTTTTTGTAGACCTTTTTTCTTATTGGTTTTTATGTTTTGTTTTTAGTTCCGGTACGTCTCCTCCCTGCTTCTGCTTGTGCCGTTAGATTTATATGTCTACTAATTGACTTTGCATTGCTAATGAAAGAATATTTTCCATATTCCCGAAGCTAACGGTATGGAAAACGCACTGTAGAAGGGGCATCCACTCTTGGGTGCCTCGGTAGATACTTTTTGAATGAACTTGAAAATTCTGTGCGTGATTTTAAGTGGAAGTTGTGGATTTCTTTAATCGTTTTTACGTTTTTTATGAAGAGGAAAATTCTTCCAAAAAACGGTAATACAACGAATGTTGTGAGAGGAAATGCAGGGAAAACTTTTAATGGTTTGAAGGTACATACTTAGGAGTTTTTTAGGAAAATTGTTAGGAATTTTTTTGTATTTCCCGTACCTAACGTTCATTTAATATTAGGCTGGAAAATAGTTTGATTAGACCACTTTAAAAACTTCTTTCTTCTTTTCTTTAATCTTTAATAACTTAATAATAATCTTTTTAAAACCCTCTTCTTGGGTCACAGCAAAAAAAAAAGGAAATATATTTTTTATATGTATTTATCCATTTATTTAGAATATTTGACTGGGTTAACGGTTCAACTTAATTAAATTTTTCATTTTTTAAAATTTTTATTATTGCTTTTTGAGTGTTTTTCCTTTTCTTTGTCGTCAGTTTCATCATTTATCAATTTGATGCCACACTTGATTCCATTTTTCCATGAAACACTTTCGCAGACTTATTCAACCGCATTTTTCAATTTGTGATCAATCAAGCAATTGCCTCGGGAGAGGATGGGGATGGGAATGGGGATGGGATGGATGTGCACTCGGGTCTACAAGGGACTCGGGAGGGAGGGTATCAATTTTGATTAGCCGGCGGCACTGCGGGGCACAGACACGTAAGGCTTTTCCACAACATACGCTGGTAATTAACAGTGTATTTTCGCCATTATGCTGGACTTTATTTGTATTTTCCATACACACTCGTTTATTAAATAATCGTTTAATGAGCCGGCCAGGCCGCGGCACCTGACACACCTGATAAACGAATTGGATCGATAAAAAAAAAAACGGCCACCAACACACGCAAATAAAAAAAATAGTATCAGTTTACGGAATTTACACTTTTTTGGCACTTTTTCTTTTCTTTTTGGCACGAAAAATTGGTTGCAAACTGTTTGGACACCCACCCAAAGAGAGTGCAACAGCAGGGGGCAACGGCAATGGCAAGCCAAGCAGCTGCATATTCAATTGCACGCGAAACCCACCAAAGAGAGACAGAGCGAGAGAGAGAGAGAGAGCGGCAGAGGGCCGAACGACCCCAACACGACGACGTTCCGTTCCGTCCGTCAGCCGCTGTTCGTGTAGCGCACGCGGCAAGAGTTAAATGCAATCTGAGCAGAGCGCAGACCCAGAGCGCCGGCGGCCCCAGCGAGCGCCGAGCTACGAGCGCCAAGCGCCCAACGCTGGCGTCTCTGCCGCCGTCGTCACACAGCTGGATCCGCGACTTGTTTTGTTTGCCCAAAAACAGAAGCAAACCACGAGGGAGGAGGGCTAGTTTTTGGGTGCCGAGGCTTTCAATACCCTGGCAGATCGATCGAATGTCGATTGTCAGTTTGTTTTGAGTTATTTGTCAGCCGATGGAATTGTGATTTCAATAATTTAGAGAATTCGAGATATGTTTTCGGGGACATCTATGTGGCACCACTAGTTTACGCAGAGGTACGTTCCAAACAGCTGGTCAAACTCAATATACCCTCGTCCAGGGTATAGCAAGAGCAAAGGCAAAGGCGAAGTAAAGGCAGCGCAGCAGCAACGAAAAATGCGACTAATGCTACTTAGGAGCGTAGGAAATTTGTATTACTCGTACAAGAGGAGGGAAAGGGAGCAACTTGGCACTAGAAAAGAGAGAGACAGAGAGGGACAGAGAGGGATGGAGGCAGACAAAGTAGCTCTTTGGATTCGTTCAAAGTGCATGGGTGAAGTAGCATGTTGGGTGCAAAGAATCAGCTCTCCAACAGAATTGAGTCAATTAACACTAATAGGGTGGAAAAGCAAAGGAAAGCCCCAGTCAGAAAAGTAGTTCACCGAGGGAACCAGTCCCAAAATGGGTGAAAAGTCAAGGAAAGGGCCGTATGACTCAGTTGTAGGGAACTAGAACCAAAAGGGATGGAATCAGTTCAATCTACTTCCCAGATATTAAAACACAAGACATTATGCTGGGGCGAAACACTTTGTTGAGGATTTGCTTTGTTGTACATTTGTCGATTCCAATACTGTTTATGAATGCTGATTTTTTGTCGATATGTGGAATGCTGTTTAGGAATGCCAAGCTTGTGAACTGAACTGGTTCATTTTTTGTTACATGTGTGTGTATGTCAAGATTTGTATAAATGAACTAGTTCTTGTTGGTTTTTGTTCAGTATTTGTGGTGTGTGGTGGGTGTGTGGTGGGCGTTTGGTGGGTGTGTGGTGGGCGTTTGGTGGGTGTGGTGGGCGTTTGGTGGGTGTGTGGTGGGCGTTTGGTGGGTGTTTGGTGGGTGTGTGGTGGGTGTGTGGTGTGTGGCACGCTTATAGAGCGCCACAATCCTCAATTATGACTGGCTCGGAGGTCTTGCCAGTGGTGGAGCCGTACGATTCGACCTTTTGGACAATCTCCATGCCCTCGACGACCTTGCCAAAGACCACATGCTTCCGGTCCAGCCAGTTGGTCTTGCTAGTGCAGATGAAGAACTGCGATCCGTTGGTGTTGGCCCCAGCATTGGCCATCGACAGGATGCCCGGTCCAGTGTGCTGCAGCTCGAAGTTCTCGTCGGGGAACTTGTTGCCGTAGATGGAGCGCCCGCCGGTTCCGTTCTGGTTGGTGAAGTCCCCACCTTGGCACATGAAGTTGGGTATGATACGGTGGAAGGGAGAGCCCTTGTAGCCGTAACCCTTCTCGCCGGTGCACAGGGCGCGGAAGTTCTCAGCCGTCTTAGGCACCACATCGGAGCGCAGCTCCATGACGATACGTCCCAGCTTCTCGTTTCCGGCGGTAATGTCGAAGTAAACTCGCGGCAAGGACATCTTTGCTATATTACTAAGCGAACGCACTAAAGCCAGATCTAAGTAGGGGGTTTATTTTTTTTTGTAAAATTCAAAAACACTTCAAACTTTTTTTACAAATATTTACCGGAAAAATTACTTTGAATTACTTTGTGCGAGCAAAAATTATTTTTAATATTTAGATCCGAACACTGGAACGGTTGGAGTTAGAATGAAAATTTTTGTGGGGATTTCAAGTATCAGGACTGAATTCAAGGGAAAACCGATTTCACAGCCTTCTTAATACAAAAAATATTTCGAATTACACAAAACATTCAAGAAAAGCTAACTAGATCTTGGGAAAGTCTAAGACTAAAACAAGTCTCTTACGCACAGCCTTATCTTCAGCTATAATCTTTATATCTTTATAGATCCTGCAACGTAACTATGTTCTCTTTAGACTTCTCGTTTTGTTTATCCCCCTCTTGAGTCAACCGCAGCCCCCAGTAGTCGGTGAATGATCAAAACCCGCATTATTTGCATTTCATTCTCGTTTGTGTACCAACCGTATAGTATACCCTAATGTATATATACCCGATGAGTATGTGTTCTTATAATTAGGCAAAAAACTTGGCCAATATTTATGTACCATGGTAAATAAAAGCTGTGAGAATTAGCCAAGTTTTCAAGAAGTCGCAATTTCAACTACAATTCAGGCATTTGTTTGCATTCGATAGAGCACCCCCTCCTAGCCTACTAGCTTCAGATAGTATATGTATACCTGTGTTTGGCTCATTCTGTGTACACAATACTCGTACTTTTCAGTGTTTTGTTAGTTGTCGGGGCAACGCACCAAAGTGGTGGCTACTTCGGGGTAAATACCTAAAAAGAGGGCCGCCTAGGAAGGTTGGTATACGATAAGATTGCCTGGTAACTAGGGAACCTGACTCAGACGGCAGCAGTTCTGTGGGGGAATTGGATGTCATTGGATGGCTTTTGGTTTCGATTGAGATGTGCCCGAAAACCCATCAGATATAAGGAAATCATAGAGCTTTCATTTCACTTCTTCTCCCCCAGAAAAAATGGCAAGAGTTCAAGATGATGTGGTATAAGAGCTACAAGAGGCATAAAAACGACTGATTCGCACGTAGGCCGTAATTGTTAACTCTCCGCGAGGCCGGGCCGGCAGTGGCTGCGAGACAGCAGCAACTGTCTCATTATTTATCATAAATTGTTGTACGGCCAAATAGCGAAAGAGCCAGCCCAAAGCTGGCGCTGGACTGCGGCAAGTGCAGCCTCGCTCGATCCCAACTGGATTCGATGCGACTAGTTACCCATTAATGTAACGCCCCGTTTGCCTTGTACAACCTTGTGCAAAAATAATGGAAAAAAGCTACAAAAACAGATACAAGACTACAGACATGACGTAATGGAGACCAACAGAAGGCGTAGGATTTGTGCTTGGCAACTGCTCCCAGTCCCAGAGCAAGAGCCGCACCCTCGCCTCCACCCTCGAGTGGCCTCTCGGGCGCCTCTCTGCAGAGCGCGGTGTGTGCGAGTGGGAACATACATAAATCCACATTATGGCCAATTCTTTGGGCGATTTCTCAGCTTAGATAGCAGTGCTGTACACTGCCGGCACTGGCAGCAGAAACACTTTTCTGGGTTCGTTTTCACACTCACCCACTAGAATTGGTAAGATAAGCTAGTGCCCGAGGTAATGTGCGCTGTTTGGTTGCCAAAAAGAACCAACAAGATTATTATTAGATGTGGCAGGAAAAAAGGAACATAGATAATGGATATGGAAATCAAGTCATTTTAAATGTCGAGCGAAAGGAAGTCCCTCCCCTGCCCACAGCCCACCTCTGGCAATTTCCCCCCCCCCCATTTAGGTTAAACGTTTTCGTAAACATCTCCGAGTGTATAATTCTCTTTCGGTCTATTTAAAGGCGCATTTGCATTAATTATGATAATTGCAACGTTTATGCCTCGATTCGTTGTGTGTGGGTCTGCGAGTCTCCGAGTCTCGGAGTCATCCAAGAGCCAAGTCTCGTTCCCAGTCTCTTGGGGTCTTTTGTCTTCCTATTTCTGGGTCAACGTCACATTTGGGTTAAAATCGATTTTCGTTTATGGTTTTTACACCACGAATTTTTCCTAGTATCTCTTTCGGTTTTGCCTTATGCTTTTTATGTTGTGTCGGGTCTGGGGTCTTAGCTCTGGGCTCTGGGGTCTGGGGTCTGGGGTCTGAGGTCTTGGGCCTTAAGGTGGGCGTCGCTGGCAGCAAAGGTGCCAGCAAAATTGTTTAATCGATAAGACGGCCATTGCAGGTGGGGAGCCCATTTGTTGGTGTCTCCTTATGGGGAGGGGGCTGTGTGTGATGGATCGATCGATGAGCACGATGGTACGGTATTGGTTCAACGGTCTTGTGGGTACCATCTTCGTCGTATTGCTCGGATTTGTGTTCTTCTTTTACCGTTCTGCGGGAATTAGTTTTCATTCTTTGTTTCGTTACACATTTCGGACTTCAGCGGCAGGTTCAAAACTGATCCCAGAAAATGATTGCCAAAAGCAGCTACCTCCAGTTCCTTCCTCTCTGAACGGAATATTGCTTCATTGAGTATTCCATTATTCTATTTATGCATTCTGCAGGCAGACACCTGGCTGGGCCTGGGCCTGGGCCTGGGCATGGGCCTGGGCTTTTTGTTTATGCGTTGCCTTGTAGGTGGCTGCTTCCAGTCAACGCCTTCGTCATGGAGCCCACAGCCGCCTCAGATTGCCTCAGAGATGGAGAGATATTCAATTTGAGAGATTACCAAATCCTAAACAGTTTGCTTGGGCAACTCCTCAAGTGATTTCGTCATCGGAGACACTCCACTTGTGCATGTATTAACCCAAATAGATCTTTCCCGTGCCATCTGTCGGGGTCTCTCTCTCCCTCTCCCTCTCTATCTCTATGCAAGTCTCTGACAATTGAACAAATTGCAATTGTGGCATTGTTTTTGTTTTTGTTTTTTTTTTTGTGTGCCTACAGTTATAATTGCATAAGTGCGACGATGCAAAACCACACACAGAGAGGGAGAGAGGGAGAGCAGATTGCGATCATCCTCCGACAGCAATGGGAATACGGAAAATCACTGTCCTCAAGCCTTATATAAGCCCATTGGTTGGAGATTCTTTTTCTTCCGCCTTAGATACGAGTATTTCAACCAAAACTGACCTCAGCTTAATTAAGCCGCCAACAGAGCATTGAAAAGAAGGGTGAGCGATGGAATGGGATGGGAGGAGATGGAATTGGGCCAAAAGAAGTGAAAGAAAAATTAAAACGAAAATCGTATTTGGTTCAGTGAAAATCTCTTTGGATACGCTTAACACTTTCCCGGGCATTGGGCCAAGGTGAGATGGTGGAAAGTAACCGATTTCCACAGAAAACTTTCAGATACGAATGCCAGAAGATACAAATTCAGTTCTGAGCTAGGCTTAAAAGAGCTTTGCAATTGTGGGTACAGTCACAACACAGTCCTCCGTCTTGATTCCTTGTCTTCTTTGGTTTTTCAGCTCATTTCGTATGCAGCGCCAAGTTTCACACAACAATCAAACCAAATGCGAGGGACTTCTATGACTTGTAACGATCTTCTGGCCCCCACTCCACTCCACTCCACGCCACCCTTCCCTCCCACAAATCGACTTCCGTTTCCCGTTGGCCTGTTGCATAAAAGAACAATTGCGGCCGGCCTGGCCTGGCCTGGCCTGGCCTCTCAGCCTTTCAAAAATTGATTCGTACGTGAGCTTTTTTTGCAAATCAAATCTTTTCAGCTTTATTTTTTCCTGTCCTTTTCTGGCTTTCTCTTCGCCCTCTCTGGCGTGCATTTGCATATTTTTTGTAATTACGAATTTTACACCTGTCACACTCACATCCTCTGCCCCTGCCCCTGCCCTGGCGCTTTTCTTTAGTATTTTCCTTGGGGAGTAATGAGAGTTCCTCAGCGGAACTCGTTCGCTGGAGAGGGCCACAAATTGCAGAGGAAAGAAAGTATTTGTCTAAATTTAAGTTTGATTGAGAGAGAAGGAAAAACAAAAGGTCCACGAGAAAATGCATGTTTTTCCAGTAAATTGTTAGAATAAGATTCAAGTTTTAAGAAAATGTGATCGAAAAAACTCTATTTTTTCGCCGACAACAGCTTGTCTCTCCCGCCAGCCTTTCCCCAAAGCGCATGAAAAAAAGTGAAAATATCTGCAAGCTCCCTACAATTGTCCGACCTCTTTGGCACTTGATCAAAATGCTCTTCAGAGGCACTGCTGCCCCCGCCGGGTGGGAAATCAAATTGGCAATAATTTTAGAGGCTGGGGGAGTACATATCAATGACCTTGAGGCGCCAATGTAGACGGCCTGGCCGTGGCCAGGGAGAGCTAAGTGAAATGCCATCTCTTTCCACTTTTTATATAACAATCGGATTGAATCGGATCGGATTGGATCGTGGCAGACAACAGCAACCCACACAAGACCAAAAGTAAAGTTTCACCTGCCAGAGGTAGCCACGAACTCCAATCTCTGAGATGCCTGCGAAGGTGATGGGGGATGGCAATGGCAATGCAGGGAGTGGGAGGGGGAGGGGGAGAGAAAACACGTTTTATCTCATAGTGAAAAGTCACAAAGTCACTTTTCCAGGGAACTTTTTTTTTCAATGGAAAACATTTTTGGAATTTCGTACGAGTATCAATGAAAATGATTTCCACATGCGCATATCTTGGGAAACTTGCCGCCGATCCGTTCAAGTGCAATTTTTGCCTGCTGATTGGTCATTTCTTTGATGAAATGTCGACAGACATTGACAGTCTCTAAGCAGTTTTTCTGCCAAATCATTGCCTGGGTGATTTACGCAGACTCCGCCATTCAATGCGCACTTTTTGAGGGCAAATTGTGCAAGAAAACATGTATAACAAGTAAATGAAAGCAATAAATAGGACCCAAATAGGAGTCGCAATCATATTTGATCGCCCAAATTCATATCTACATATATTCCTATGAAGAACGGAGCTTCTGCTTACCCTATAATCGTAGTCATGGCGATTCTCCAAGCTTATATCGCTGTACATGTCTTCGGTTGTATCACAGTTGGAGCTACGGCCCGAGGAGTTAAAGCTCGATGATCTATAGAGTTGGCTATAAAAAAAAAAGCAAACAAAAAGGAATTTATGAAAACGTTAGATATCACTAATAATTCAAGTTGCAAGGTAAACCTAGAGTTTTGTCTTTAGGAAATACAATTTTGGTCACAGGTTCGAAAAAAGCCTGCTGAATCTATCTCTAACTAACTGAATAAAAGGGTAGGGACATATTTTCAGAGTCCGTTTTCTACCAATTAATGGTAGTTTGGGAATATTGATCGCAATTGATCCGGGGAAATCCGGCATAGATTGATTTTTTGTTTTTGCTATTAAAATGGTTTTATTGATACATCACATGTAAATATCATGTAGAATTAAATGTAGATTTATGTGGCGACACCTGACGACGTACTGGTGGTGGCGCCATACACTGTAGGTGGCGCCGCTTCGTAAAATGTATTTATTACAATGTAATACTACACGTATTTTTACATTTAGATACTTAGTAGAGACTCAAACCATACATACAATTCTTTTAAAACTGCAGTAGCTTGTGGATTTCAAACTTTAACACCTGTAGCTGCAGGCATTTTTATTTATTTATTTTTAAGACTTTATCTTTTTCCATTATCGTGCTGAGCCAAATATATTTGTATAATGTCTGTCTGTTATAATCTAACTCCTAAACTGTATTTTGCGGAGGTTTATCTAGGCATCTGATGGATCTCAGTGCAGATTAGATAAAAATGTGTAGGTAGCTTTTATTATATATGTATGTAGTAATTTTGCAGTTATAAAACTTACCTGGCTAAGGCATTGGTGCTAATCTGTCTGCGGCCAGAACTGCAAGAGATTTAGAAAAACAATTTTAGTATTTAATAGAGAGTATCACGAAAAAATCTATACAAATGCCATAAAATCCGCTAAAAATGTATCAAAAATAACCAAATAAATATGAGTCTTAACGATATTTTTTTTTTTGCGTTTGTTAGTAATAGGTTGAGAAAATATTTTTTTAGTTTTCGATACCGATTTGAACCCAATCTCCCCCACAACCCATTAGAGCCCCAAGCCATGAAAGCGAAGGAATTTCGAACATTTTCGAAATGCAAATAATGCCTGACATTGGCGGTGAAAAATAGGGAAAAGCGAAAAAGAAACTTGTAAAACAGCAAAGAAAAAGACACAAAACACGTGATAATGAAAGGAAAGAGAAATAACAACAACATTGGCCACCCACGCGATCAGGTAGAAAATGAAAAAGTGAGGAAAAGTGCCAACAAAAGCCGTCGAATCGCGACAGCCAAGAAAATGTGGCAGTAGTGCCGGCAGCGACAATAGGAAAACTCGAATAAAAAAAAATAATAATGGTATTCTCAACAGAGATTTGGTTTTGCTTTAGATTGCCCGACGCTAAATGGCGAAAGATTAATCTAAAAACTCCGCCAGTATAAAAGCCTTAATAAAAATACAATCTATATTCGCCAAAAAAAAATAGAGTAGAGTACCATAAATATTTGCAACAACAACAGACAGCAGTGGACAAACGAGGAAACCAAAGACGACGAAAAATGACGGCAGGGAAAGAAGAGAAACAGAGAAACAGAGAGACAGACAGCTTCATTTTGAGTAAAAGTAGGGTGTGGCGTTGGAAATCCTCTTTGTTGCACACAGTCCCAGTGCACATCGACCACGAATATAGGTCAAAGGTGGGAGACATTTTGCCTGAAGAAAAGAAAACACGTTGCAAGGGAAAGGCAAGCCAGTGTCCCCAAAACCGTACAGTCCCCATAAAACTTGGGCAGTCTAGTAATTTATTGGTACTTTGTTTTGTTTTGTTGTGCGGTTTCCAGTTAAAGATGATCTCATGGCAAATATGTATGGGTAAGCAAAACCGCAAATAGTTTACGTTTTGGAGAATTACATAAAAATGTGCGAAAAACAAATAAAAAGTTTTCAAACTTTATCAATTAACCGCTCTTACTAACCCTCTACTGACTGTCCGCCAGCTTCTATGCGGCCCCAACTGAACTCATTAACCCAGTTTCGGGTGTACGTGTACTCCAACACACACGCATAGATGAAAATCTGTCTCATCTGGGTTTTGTGGCTCTGCTATGAACTCTATTTTTAAACCGACATAAACCACAACGTAGGACCAACATAAAACCATGCAAATTGGCCACAATTTTCGCAGAAACTTTATTTTACTTTTTAATCGACTTTAAATAAGTAAAAGACTTTAAAGCTGGAATGGCGTGCTCGTAAAAATATGCAAACAAAAAAATATGCCAGAAAATTATTGAAAATTGAGCAAAGCAAAAAATTGTTTGGGGAAACCTGCTGCTGCCACTGCCGCTGCTCTTGCAGCAAAAAAATATTGCGCAATTTGTGCCAGCAAACAGAAAGAGTGGAAAATGCGAAAAGTCATCTGCGCACAGTGGGGAAAAAAACACTTTATTTAGCCCACTTTTAGCCGATCTAGGGTTAGGCGGTATCCCTTTAAAGTTCTTCAACGAGCTATTGGTTTTTTTTTTTTTAATATTTTTAGTTTGAAAATTCGATCAGCTGTTGGCAGTGTGGCAGCTGTAAGGCGCATTGCAATTTTGGAGTCGAAATCATATTTTTGTTTGCTGGATGCCAGATGGTTCGTTGCACCCACTGTGCTGCGGTTTGCCGGGGTGCTGCATTGTATGACTCAGTGCGGTGGCATGCTGCTATTGATGCAACTTAAAGTTGACATTAAATTGGAACCCAAAAGTAGAAGTCCTCAAGCTATTGAATGCTGGAAAACCATGGCAAATAATACTTTTGATATAACCCATTAAACTTTTGCACAAAAACATAATTGTATGTGGCTTCAACTAAAACAAAAACAACAAAAACGCTCCAAAGAAAACGAATCAAAAAATGACAGTTAATTATGGAACAGAAAAAAAATGATCGAGGTAATGCCGTGTAATCACAAACCAAAAAAAAAAGAGAAGCTGTTTAAATATGATTAAGGTCGTTGGCAGCAAATGGAGGCAGGAGGGAGTTCGGTGGAGAGGCTGAATGACTGAATCAGTTGCAGCATTTGGGTAACCTTGAATCTCGGCGGTTGTGGGGCCGAGGCCGCGGGAGTGTTCTCTTCCCCCCTCCACCCAAAAATCGAAATGAAATTCGAAACGTGGGCCGGAAGTTATGGTCTGCGGTTGGTTTTCTTGATGGCAGCGTTTTTGAGAGAGTTTCAGATTCTCCACACATCAACTTTACGGGGCACTAAAACAGGAAGGTAGAAAAAAAAAAACTGTCAAAGTATTCGCCCAAGCACCTGTTGAATAACAAACCCCCCCCCCCCCCCCCCCCCCCCCCGCACACCCCGCAGGCCCCCTTCTAGCACCACAATTACCGTTCATTTGCTCTCCCCCTCCCCCCGCTCGCATTGCGTTCCGCTTCGTTAGCCTTTAAGAGAGAGATAGAGAGATGGAGAGGGGGGTCAGCAGAAGTGAGGGGGTTTGGGAATGGCAGGGAGGGAGTGGTGGGTGCATGGAGTGGAATTTCAATTGTTGTTTAGAATGAATTTTACAGCACTGCGAGTAGAGTTTTTTGTTTTTTTTTCTCTCTGAAATGCTTATGAAATTCATATAATTAGAGGCGGAAAATATGTAAAAGCAACAAGGCTGCAGAGGAGTGTAGAGGAGTGCGAACAGGGAGAAGCAATGGGGGAATAGTTCTCCAACAATGGAAGTTGGCTCCTCCAGGCGATTCAATACAGGGTAATCGGTATACGATCACCGGTCCACTTTAACACCCAACTGTTAATTGACTGGCAGGGGGGGGGCACCTCCTCCACTGAGTGATCACCTGACAAAGGGCTCCGTCTGTTGTTATGAGGTTACACTGGAGTAAAAGTCAAAGGCAAAACTCAGAAAAACTTTAATGCTCCCCAGAGGGCCACATTAAATAATCGTCTAGAGGTGGCAAGTTTCTTGAACTTTTGCTGTTTTAAATTCAAGCCACAAACAGACAATGGATCGAGTCAGGTTTGTTTCTTTATTCTCTGCCTCTTTCGCTGCTCTTTCGCTGCTCTTTCTCTGCCTTGCCCATCCCCAAGAGAGTCAATCAATCACGATCGGATTATGCAAAAAAAGAAAAACAAGTCACAAATAAAGCTGACTAAAATAATTTCGGACAAGCACCTGTCGCAGTCAGGTGCGACTGACCCAGATACAACTACTACTCCTCTCTCTATCGCTCTATCTCTCTCTCTCTCGGTCTCTTTTTGGCCTGCCCAAATCAAGTTTTCTATTGCAGAAAAGTCTGTTCCCAGCGAAACGCCTCAATGCACCGTGACTTACTGTTAGGGTTACGGTTTCTGTTTCTGTTTCTGTTTCTGTAGTTGCCCCAAAGGTGTAGACACACCTCGCTCACTCCTCCTCTGCGCTCCCTTAACCCCTCATTAGGTGCCTGGGAAGTTCAACTAATTGAAACTATTAAAAGCAGCTTTTTTGGTGGGCTCTAGACTGGTTTGCTGTCTCATTAGAGGGCACAGAAGGAACAAAAAAAGCTAAATACAAGGGTATATAGACTTCGGCCTTTAGTGCATTTTTTTGTATTTTTTTGATTAGTTTAATTAGGGAAAAATGTCTAAAGTCTTTAATTAAAACCTCAGATTGGAGAAAGGGCAAGAAAGAAAGAGAGAGAAAGTTTGTCAAACATGATCTTGATGTGGGAAAAGACGTAGAAATCTCTGAAAGTACAATCTTTAGGGTTCATAAATAACCCTTAAACCCTCAGCAATTGTTGGGTTTTAACCACGCCACGGATCATTTCTTTTGAAAATGTTTCGGGGGTCAGGAATTGTCGCGATTGTTGCCATTTTTTTCAAAAGAAACAATGACCAAACCACACGGATACGTCTTTTGTTGGGCCCACAAGGGAAAGTCTTTGTGGGCAGTGACTCGGGGCGTGTCTCTTGACTGCTGACTGAATTCTTAGGAATACTACGAGTATATTTATAACTACTAAGTGCAACAACAACTTGGTGAAATGAAGATTTTAATACGCACTTTTTTCTCAAATGACTGCGACGACGGTCATAGGGAAAGTACTCAAAATACTCATCATCCATTTATGTGAGAATGTGAGATTCCGCGGAGGTTTATCTTTATCTTTCGGTTAGCTGTTTTGGCCATCAGTTTTTACCGCCATTGTCCGCACTGTGGACGTCATTGAGTCGCTTTTGTTGGCTTTAACCGATAAGGTGTATTGGCTTTTGGATAAGCATTAATTACAGCACTCTTTGGGCCCTCTTAGCCATGGAGTTCCACGGAAAACATCCATTATTTGAGTTTAAGTTGAAGGCTTTTTGGATTATTCAAATTATTTTGGGTTTATTTAATGTTTTAGAATATGTTTCAAGTACGATTTAGTTTTTAAATATTTTTGAAACATTTTTTTACTATTTTGTAGTGCATTTTAGGACCATTTTCTTTCACTTGGAATTATGTATATTTGGGTATTAAAGCATATGATTTCTGGAAGAGTTTTCATCGCAGGCATTGCATCAGCTCTTTGGAGCTTCACTTTTCTTTGGTTTAGAGAAAAGGAAATTTCATTTGAAAAACGCAGACCGCAATTGAAACCGACTCGGAATCGGACCCATCATCGACAAATTAGACACACTTTCGCAATGGAAAACGGCGGAGGCCTCGCCTCGGATTGGATCGGTTTGGATCGGATTGGGGATCGTTGGGGCGGCTGGCCACACTTCACTTTTCATTACGAATCCCCTCAAGCCGAACACCGATTGTGGCGTCTTGTGGTTAATATCTTACGAACACGCGTCTCTTGTGGCCAAACATCGCTCTGATAACGTCGTTAAAAGCTCTCCGAAAGCGAAATCAAAAGGAAAACTGCAGTCGATAGACGGCAGACGGCAGACGGCGGACGGCGGACGGCAGACTACAGACGGCTTCGCTGACCAACTAACAATGAAAATGTGCAGCAACTGACGGGTAACATTTATATGGCTGCTCCACGGGTAATTAAGGCTCTAAAGATGATTCGATTCGATTCGATTCGATTCGATTTTGATTGATGGATCGCGACAGGGCGTGAAAAAAGGTCCCAAGGCGGAGAGTGTGGGTCTCTCACGGCGTGGAAATGTGGAAATGCGGCAATGGGTTCGATTTGATTGCCCCGAAGACCTGCATTGAAGTAATTGCTTTTCGTCTTGTGGTCCCAAAAGGGCGTTGAAACAGGCTATTATTGAGCAAGTACTCTTGCTCGAGAAAATGTACAAATAGCCATAGGAAAATGCCATTTCTCTGGTCTTTGATTCAGAGTTCAGTTTAGAAATTCATATTTTTCTCAGGTGTGTCCCTGTTTCACTCTGGGGGTAGGGGGGGATGGGTAAAGGTGCATCACAAAAGGGCGTGGACCTCCCGAGAGCCGGCCAACAGTCACGTGCAGAGAACGAGGCAGACTCGCCGAAGATGGAGCCGGAGATGGAGCAGAGATACTGCCTGGTAGTTTCGCCTGGGAAGGTGCATTGTTGTAGCTTTTGTAGTTTTACTTTTAGACACTGCCATTGGGCTTGGGCTCGGGCCATTAAGGCGTGACGGTGACGACGCCGTAAACTACCAAAGTGTAAACTACAACAGCCCAAAACTATGTACAAAATCTCATAAAACCGCGCTGCTCAAATTAAATACGTTTTCTATTCCATGGAAAGCGAAATTTATGGCCAAAACCAAAAAAACAAAACAAAACAAAAATCACAATTAACTTTGCGCAAATATTTCGCACTCGCAGACGCATTCGCATTCGCCGCGATGTCTGGTCCCAAAACCCACACTTTCACGTACATTTCGTCTATTTGTTTCTTCAACGCAGACACCACCGGAACACTGTTCGTCACAGACTCTCTGTGCGGGATTTGATAAATAATTGAATCGGCGAAAAAGCGCCAACGGAAAACGTTTGCCCGCACGCGCTTCCAGTCCCAAGATCCAACTCGAACTAACCGCATTCTCCAACACGGCTCGAAGCGGCAACAACAGCCAGCAGGCCAACAGGCCAGAGCAAAATAAACACAGCAGAAAGAGCAGCGAACAAGTGTGTGGGGCGAGAGAGAAACAGAGAGCCAGCGAAACAGAGAGAGCTGAGAGCCGCGCCGAGAGCGCCAGCCACTGCTGTGGGGCGAAAGGGTTGCGCCGCTGCTCGAGCATTGCCGGACTGTTCAAGAATGCCCGCTCTGTTAGCCGAGACACCCCATACCGTTACCGCTACCGCTAACAGCGTGCACAAGCCAGTGGCCATCTGGCAACTCTTTCGAGTAACAGTTTTTCCAAATAGAGAGGCACCTGCAGCATTGGCTGTGTGCTGCCCGAGAAAGTCACTAAAATATAAATAAAGAGGAAGGAAAACGAGCCCCTGAGATGCTGCCAACTGCCGAATTTCTCGCTTTAGTGGAGCCCCCGCAAAATGCCTCTATTAGGTGGCGGGGCGGACACCTTCGGGCTATTGGGGGCCCCCGAAAACAAGCCGCAGACAACTGTGTAATTATGTCTGGTCTGGTCTGGTGGGGTCTGGGAGAAACAGAGAGGGGGAAGGAAGGTATACAGACCACATAAGTGCAGCGAAGGTTGGGCGGCCCATGGGAGACAGTTGAAAAAAAACCCGAAAGGGTGAGCTCTGAAAGCGTTTAAAGGCCTTTCCAAGGTTTCCAAGGAGAAGACTGAACGGAATGGGGGAAAACGGGTATTCATCCTGAAGGATGAAGTATATATCTTATTGGAATTAGAGGAATTATTTAATGACTTCGAGACGGCACTAAAAAACACGCTGCTGTGTGCTGAAGGGTATTCAGCTTTACAACGGGAAGACGGGAAGACGGGAAGACGGGACTCTGTTCCCGATATCGAATGAAGATCAGCCAGATGCTGGGTCAGAGGAAACTCCAGTGCGGCTGTCAATGAAACAAGTCATGACCCGCAAATATGTGAAATCAGTGAAGTCTTCCAAAAGTCATCTTCTGCATTGATTACGCCGTCCAACGTTTTGTCAGAGGTTCCGTTTGCCAGTCTGGATGGGTTACAAGGGTGTCCCAATTCGAACAAAGCATCAAAGATTCTAATTCGGACCCAGACCCAAAGCCATCGAAGAGTAAAACTGACCTTAAGCCCAGGCTGCTCCTACTCCCTCCGTTTCAATGGACCCCAATGACCCTGGGAAAAGCATTTGAACGTTTCCAAGCTCACACAAAAGTGGATTTTCAATTGTCTCCCTTTGTACTTCTCCCAGACCAGACCAGTTGTCTGCGGGGGCCCCCAATAGCCTGAAGGTGTCCGACCCGCCACCTAATGGAGGCATTTTGCGGGGGCTCTACTAAAGCGAGAAATTCGGCAGTTGGCAGCATCTCAGGGGCTCGTTCTCCCTCCTCTCGTATTTATATTTGAGTGACTTTCTCGGGCAGCACACAGCCAATGCTGCAGGTGCCTCTCTATTTGGAAAAACTGTTACTCGCAAGAGTTGCCAGATGGCCACTGGTTTGTGCCCGCTGTTAGCGGTAACAGTAACGGTATGGGGTGTCTCGGCTAACAGAACGGGCATTCTTGAGCAGTCCGGCAATGCTCGAGCAGCGGCGCAACCCTTTCGCCCCACAGCAGTGGCTGGCGCTCTCGGCGCGGCTCTCAGCTCTCTTTCTGCTTATTTGCTGTTGCCGCTTCGAGCCAGGTTAGGGAATGCGGCTAGTTCGAATTGGCCCTTGGATCTGGACTGATAAACGTAGATATGGCCTGTGAGCATTACCCAGCAGCAAGTGGATTGTCATAACTAATGTTAGATCATTGAGAAAGGATTCAAGTGGGAAAAGAAGCGATGGAATTATAGTTTGATCAGAAGCCTTCTCTCAATAACACGTGATATTCGGAAGACGGATCTATGGCAGTCAGGCATTATTCAATAATATATGAATGGAGGAAGAAATACAAGCCAGATTGGAAGGGCAATTTATCATCAAATAAGGCATCTGCTAGCTCTTCGCTCTTAGGAAGTCTTAAATATCTCAAAAATATATAATTGTTGTATTTATTGAAATTTGTAAATTGGCTCTTTTTTCAAGATATTTCTGTATATTTTTCTTCGGTTCTTAAAGTGCATTTTTTTCCTATCGCTCTTTTGTTGAATGCCAAGTGCAGACCGAGACCGAGGGGCAACAAATTCCCAGCAGTTGGGCAAAGACAAAGGCATTTGCATGACAACTTCAAGGGGGAGCACTGGGAGGGAGGGGGCTCTGGGAACACCAGGGTCTGGCAACGATTTAAGGCCTGGGAAAGGGTTAACTGATCTGCACATGCCTTGAACGGAGGGAAATCGCCGGGCATACTCCACAACGATTCCAGATGAAAGCCTGGCGGCAGTGGACAAACTCTAGCATCCATCTTGGCGTGAATTTTGGGTCAATTTTATTCGCGACTTGACAAAAGTGTCGGCCTAAATTCTGAAGAGTAAACAATTGCCTTGCCTCAAGTCAAACCTGTTTTCAGTGCCGCCAACTCCTCACTTCCTCAGAGTCAGAGCCAGAGCCAGAGCCACAGACAAAGCCAGAGCCAGGCGAGAGCCAGGCAAGAGCTCTCTGGGCAAATTCCAATGGCATGACTACCCCTGAGAGAGAGAGACAGCGATGTGAAACTTGTAAGCCAGGCCAATTCAAGCCGAACCAAGGGGAAAAGGAGATTGGTTAGAGCCAGGCCCGCATTTTATGGGCACTCGGTGTACCTTCAACCTTTCCGCAAAACCGAGAGAAGAGCTCTCGCAAAAGCAGCCAAACCGCTTTGGCCCAGGGGAGAGAGGGCAAACAGGAAACAAGGTCTCCTCTCCATGTGAACTCCAAGCAGAACGCCAACTATCAAGGAAGCCGCAGAGATCTCATCTCAAAGTTCTCATTTATTTCCCTTCGTTCCGGCAAAATCTCTCGCCATTAATCTGATATATTTATTATGGTCTGGTCTGGTCTGGTCTCGCAATTAATGCCCCCAGAAATGTGCCAATTTCGTGTGTAACTTTTATGATGGGCCCCATTTTGGGGGCGGGGCGTTGGGTTGGCCGAAAGAAAGCTCTTGAAAATGAGCCACAATCGTACATTTCGGTTGTATAACAATTGAAGTGGTCGGAAAAGATGGAAAAACCTGATAGCCACTGTAGTTGAGATGGAAAAAATCCAATCAAAATGTTCAAAATAAAAGGTTTGATACAAATTCGAATAAAAATACATTTTTTGTATGCTCTTGATGCTGAAAATATTAAAATAGTTCCCTTAAATGTACACCAATTGAGTAATTAATTTGTTTATGTACAATATATGTGAGCCGAAACCAAAATGGGCCAAAAATGTGAGATTAGAGGTTAAAATAATTGTTTTGTTGGTTGGTTGCGTGAGCAGATTCTACATGAAACCCAAAGGAATAATGATTTGTGGCTTACTGTCTCATGGAGCCCCAACGACGCTGCGATAAGCTATCGGGATTGCTGTAAGAAAAATATTCATCAATTTAAGGTTTAAATTAAGGCTAAAAGTGCACATTTGGCTAAAGTTTTAGTTTGTGGTTTAAAGAGGTAATCATTTTCGAGAAATTTGAAAATTCCTTAAGTATTTGTCTGCTCTGCTATTTCTCTTCCATTTGTAATTACTTCCCAATCAATGATTTGATGAATCATACTTGAAATATATTTATCTATAATCCTTGATCTTTTATTAATATTTAGAGAAACGTCTCTTGAATTAGTTTCTTCTTTTGAAAACGCTTTGCACACCTAAGATCGTTGTTTCAATTTCCAAATCAGTGCCACCACCTTTTCCATTATACCTTGCAGCTGGACTGCCTTAACAGACTTCGGTTGGGGGAAATGTTGGAGGAATTCAATGAACAAAACTCTGTTAAGTTGCTTAACCGAATGTTAACTGGATATCCAAGACATAATTGTATTATCTATATTATTTATAACAACTTTGGTCTCCAAAAAAAACATGTGCATGCCCCACGAGCACCGACTGTGTTGGGATTTGCGACTCGAAGACGGAGCCACGCATGAATCACGGCTTGTGGCGGCCCAGGCCGAGACGAGCATAGAAAAAACTGGTTTTCTGTATGCATTTTAATGCCACATACATGTGTATACACACAGAAAAGGTTAAATATTCAAATAGTGTGGCTTTTTGTTGTTTTTTTTTTGCTACGGACAAATTGAGACTAGAGTTTTGAATTGATGAAGTCTCTGGGACTGGACTGCCGTCTGCCGACTGCCGACTGGTTGGGGCAGCTTTATGGCCATTACGTAGTCAGTAGCCTGATTATGTGTGCAACCTTATATATGTATGTACATATTTCTTACAACTGTAGAGATTCGCATTCGATTCGTTTCGATATCCATTTTGGGAGTAAAGCGAGTGAATAATGGACTGGTGGTGGTGGGAGTGTGGGTTTACCTTGTCGGTGTGCGTCTCAGACTGCGTCTGGCCCAATTGTCTCGGGGCATAATGTTCAGTTCGTCATCGCTGGAAATGGCAGGACAGTTAATTCTAAATTCCAATGGATATGCATTCGATTCGACTCACTCTTGGGGCGTGGATGAGCCCGCATGCGGGGCCAGATCGAGTTCGATGCCAACGCTGGCGTTCAGATTGTTATTTCCATCGTTCGAGTGTCCACTGTGATTGGAGCTTCCCACGCTGAGATTGTTGTTGCCATTGGCGTGGTTGTTGCTACTGTTGTTGTTGTTGTTGCTGATGCTGTTGTTGTTGTTGTTGTTGCTCGAATTGGAGCCATTCCGTCCTTCCCTCAGTTGGGCGGGATACTCGTTCTCGCCATAGCCCTCGAAGGACTCGCCATCGGATAAGGACGAACACTGAGATTTGGCAACGCCCGCTACAAAAAAAAAACCGTTGATTATTGCCAAGACCGATCAAAGGTCATCGCTGGGTCTGGGTGGTACTGTACCTGTGCTGGAGGGCGGACTGCTGGGCGTGGGGCTGCTGTCGCCGGACATGGTTTCCGCATAGAGAAAACTGTTTGTGTTGGCTTTGATGGCCGCATTGGGGCTGTTGGGCAGCTGAATGCGCGGCATGGGCGCCATCTTGAGTGTGGAAGAGCTGAAAGAATAAAAAAATTAAACATTTATCAAAGAAGTTCGGAACAGAGGAATCTGTGTGCCTGGCAAGCAGGTCCCAGTGCTTGTCAAACCATTCATGTTTAGCCCTAATTCAACGCGTGCAACAGGTGCACTTTCTACTTCCGATTTTGGTCAAACTTCTACCGAGGGAAACCAAATTGGGTCGAGGTCTGTTGTGGACACTTCCTTCCAGCAATTATCCCTTACTCCAGGGCGTGACTGGCTGGGAAAGGGGGGCGAGGGGGAGGGAGAGGTTCCCGATCTGGGCGTGAGTAATTACCCACGATACGAGTTTATTTCTTCTATAATTGTCGGCGCTCTGCCTTGCCATCATTTTCTGGTTTTCTTTTTCGTGTTTCACGCTTTCGTTTCTTTTTTGAATTGTCACCGAATTGGGGGTTTGGCGGATTATTGGGGCGCATAGAAAAATCTATAAATATTGTTGGTACAATTGGTGGAGTGTTCGATTGATATGTCAGGGCCGTTAGTTGTAAGAGAGTAAGTGGGTCAACGTCCACGTTCTCCAGAGGGATTAGGGGTATGTCCAACACTCATGGGAAAGGGATAAGACACAACAACATGATCCAAATTGAAAGAGGAGTCCTCTCTAACCTTTTTGGTTCAACCAGTTGAAGTTTCACTTCAATTACTCCAAATTATATGGATTGACATGAGGGAGGAGCCTCCTGGCCAACAATTTCATAATAGACTAACCATAAACTTGTGATTAAATATCGATTGTCTGCAGAGCGTTTCCAGCTGGAATAATATGCCATAATGAGCAGATATATGTGGCTCAAAAGAAAGCAAAAGGAAATAATGATACTCGGGCAAAATCACAGCAATTCAGCGAAGAGGTGAAGAGCGGCTGAGTGAGTACCAAGCGCGCACGGGGAGCAACGAACTCTGGCCGAACCCAACAACCAACAAACCAACAAACCAACAAACCAACAAACCAACAACTAACAACCAAAAACACCAACAAATTGCACTGAAAAAATCGATGAAAGTTAGTCAAAAACAAAACAAAGAAGAAATGTACAACCCCTCCTAAAACTTTTTCCCCACTTATGCAATGATATTTTTATTTTTTTTGTTGGTTTTGCATAAGAGGATGGTTGGTGAGGGGGGAGGGGGAGGAGGGCGTGTGTGAGAGCTGCCACCCTCTGCTGTTCACATCGCTGGCAGCTATGACACTTGATTAAGTTGCCAAAGACTGATTGCTACAGCGTAGCAGCCAAGGCAATCTGTGTCAGCGACAGCATCGGCAGCTGGTTGGGGCACCAAGAGATGCTCTTGGGTGGATCGAAGACTTAGATACCCTGGGATGCAGACAAGTCGAAGCTTAGCCGGATGCTGCCCCCTGATAGGGTAAGAAGTTCAGTTAGAGCAGCAGCAGCAGCAGCATCCCAACAGCAAAAGACCAATCCGCTTTGGGTTCCGTTACTGCAAAACTTGGCTGCACTTGTCTCTAGCTGTCTCTCTCTCTCTCGGTGTGTGTGTACTCCGTATATTGCACGAGTATTTCCCATGAATAGTTTTCCTTTGTTTGCAGCTTCTTCTCGCCACCTGATATCTGATGAATTATATGTACAAATAAATGAATAAAGAATTGTGGGAATAAAGCTCTGAGTGGGGAAGGGGCAGAGCGGCAGAGCGGCAGAGGGGCAGAGGGGCGCTGCAGTTCATAAGCCGTATCATTCATTAGCCATATGCTAAAGATCAAAAACGAGTGTGGGGGGGCGGGGGGGGATCTCCAGTATATAACTGTATATGGAATTGTTTAATTATAGAACAAGTTGTTCCTCTCCGAAGCAGAGAGTGGGTTGAGTGGAGGCACAGGCACAGACGCCGCGGCGTTGCAGCAGAGTTTCAGTTTTATTTTTATTAGATGTTATCCGAGACTTGACCAGCTGCCATGCCCCATGCCCCATGCCGCCCCCACCCTGCCTTGTGTGTGACTAATAAACTTGAACTTGTGTGCGAGAAAACAATTGAAAAATTGATCCGATGAGAGAGCCTCACACACACAATAAGTGCGGGGCATGGATGAGTGGAAAGTGTACCAGGCAGGCCGTAATTCTTATCCCATTCAATTGCTTTTGTTGGTTGTTTTGTCACACACATGTAATCCATCCCATCCATCCATCCATCTATCTGTCTATATATCTAATTATGCAGATGTTGTGATGTGGTAATAATGCCTGGGGCTTGGGGAACTGCACGTACCACCAAAAAGACAGAACATGGACCAGGGCCATATGGCGATGAATAGGAGAACCGGGCTAGATCGAATTCGAGCCATAACGAAAGTGGATTGAGCACTTCAACAGAACAGTTCCGAAATTCCAATGAAAACCCTTAATTAAAAAGCGAGACCGAGAGACAGACGGAGATTTCGAAAGATCCTTTGCTCAAGTGGCAAACAGATGCCAGACAGCCTGCCAGCCAGCCAGCCAGCATCTCGAGGGTTTGCCCACGAACTACCTGCTCGAGAGATTGCATCGATAAGTAAACTACAGAAACGCACAGCTGTTGCACCGATCTCCCATTTTCCATTTTCCATTTTCCATTTCCCATTAGTTTTGGTCGAGTCAAGTGAGGAAAATCTTATCCAACGGCAAGACAAATCTGGCAGCGTGCAAATTCCGTGCTGGAAAACGTGTTTAACGCTGAGAAACGAGCATTTCTTTCAACCGAAATGCATTTCAAACGTTGAACGTGCCTTCGACTAAATATTCATCTAGTCGGAATGGTGATTGATTACGAAACACATTAAAAACCAGCTTATTACTGCTGGGATCCCCTTCGAGGCAAAACAGGGTACACCTTTACTTGATTTGGAATACCCGTGGACAAGCTTTGGCTGCCCCTTGAATCGATCCCCATGGTAGACGCCCTCGAAAAGCAAACAAAACGCCCACAAAAACAAGCGACACGACGACAAACAATCAGAGACCCAATAGATTGAAGCAATATTGATGAATTATACAAAATACAGACTGGGAAAACTGGAAAAACAAAGAAGCAAAACAGAAAATTCTGTTACAACACTTGAAGCGGTATCGGTATCGGTATCGGAGGAAATTGGGTCAACCGAGGGAGTGAAATGAAGGGGAACGTGGGGGGGCGAAAGTGAAGAGAAGTAAGCGACTTAATCAGAGCTCTCAAACTGTTACTCAAACTGTAGTAGGCTTAAGCGGAAGGTGTGAAGCTTATGCTCGAGAAACGCACTGTAGGACACACACACACTGTGGCACTGCGGCACTGTGGCACCGCCTGTGAATACTTTAAAATCAATTAGTTGCTCGAAACGTCCGCGTCTACTAAAATACAAATCCCATTTACTTAACGCCTCTGTTGACATATTTCTGTTTTATAATTTTATTTTTATGCCCGGAACTGTCTGCACCTCCGAAGGGGAGGACAGGGGAGGAACTCCCGACCTCTCTCTCTCTCAGACTCTATTTCTGATTTCTGGTGAATGTTTCGTTGGCAGTTCCCGCTAATTTGTGCTCTTCCCCGGAGGCTTAACATTCTCCAGGGCGGAAGCCAGCTGTGATCCGAAAGCGAAAATTCCATGTCAGGTTTTTGGGTGGATGCCTGGATGCCTGAATGAATAATGGGGCGGGCGTGCTCGAGACCCAGCTCCTCGAGGAGATGGTGCACGAGAGGAATACCAATTGGTAGAACACTAGACAGAGAGACATGTCTGAGAGGCCTTGCGAGAGGCAGGTCAAGGAGGGACCCATCAACACATAGTTTGTTGGGTAAGCGCCAAGAGGCAGAAGAAGTTATGGAAAAACCCTCTAGAGAGACAAAAGACTACTATTATCGGCCTTACAGTTTGAAAAGCACTGAATGGTATCCAGCAACAGCTGTTGAAGCTTCAGACAGACAAATGTTTCCACAATGACAACAACCTTTAATAAAATATAAAGTAAAACATAAACACGGAAGTCTCTCTCCCCCCCCCCCCCACAGGTAGATGTACTTACATGTACATATATGTATGTATCTAGATAGCAGCAGTATGCGATGCAGCGACAAAAGATGAAAAACCCATGCCAGAGAGAGAGAGACAGACTTTGTTCCAGACGGCGGGCCTCGACTGTCATTAAAAGCGACGACACCTGTTTGAAGTTGTGGCAGTCCCTCTCCTACCCCCCCCTACCCTCCACCATGCATCCAGCACTCCTTCCTCTCCTTTCTCCCTGTCACTTTTGTGAGTTCTTTTCGTGCTGCATTTACCGCAATTATTTACTTAGGCCATCGCTCGGATGCGGGCTCTTCAAAAAGGTAGAGCCAAACCAAACAAAACACGGAATTAGATGAATTCCCCAACAGCATTTCCTCACTAATTACACGAGAGAGAACCAAGCACACACACGCACACACACACTCTTTTGTATACCCTGTAATCGAAGGGCATAGGCGTATGGCTGGATCTGCTGGCGATCGGTTGTTTTTTATGCCAGAATATAGGTAAAACTTTGACATTTATTACATCCAAGTGTGTGTTTTTGATAGGGTATTCCCTAGTCGGCATTTGAGGGCTGCTTTCGGTGCATTGAACTGCCTGCAGGTGGAGCAAGAGGGGAAGGAACCAGTGCTGCCGCTGACCCACATTGATTGAATTGCATTTGAATTCGTTTTCATTTCCATGTCAATCTCCCAGCCAGCCAGTCAGTCATTCAGTCAGTCGATCAACGAGCTTTCAGGTTGTCCAAACCAATTGCAGTGTCAATTGGGGAAAAGACATCATCTTGCTCTCCTCTTCAATCAGCTTCAACCATCATTCACCTCTGTCTGTCGCTGCATCTCTCTTTCGCTCGCCTCTCCCCCTCCCTCTGCCGCTCTCTCGCTCTACCGCCAGTTGGCAGAGCTTTCGGGAGCTTCTTCTTCTAAATAACTGCTGACTGACACGATTCCCATTCCTTGGCTCTGGCATTTCTGGCTTTTCTTCTGCTTCCTTCTTTCTTCGTTCTTCGCTCGTTCTCTTTTGCTTTGGCACGAGTGTTCGTTCTCGACGTTTGCCTTGTGTATAAACAAAAGCGTACATTCAAAAAATAAATACAATAAAAAAAGCCATACAAAATCTTTTTTCGACTTGTTTACCTTGAATCGCATTGAATTGAAGTTCAAATAATTAATTATAATTTTAGCTTGCGGTTTTTTAAATGTTTTCTTCTTTTTGTTTTTTTGCTTTTACTTTTGCACTTAATGCGCTTTTGCAAAAGGTTTTTTTAATAATATTTCTTAAATGAGAATTGGTTTTTTGCTGTTTTTTTTTTTTTTTAATTTACGAGTGTTATTGGTAAACGTTTTGAAAGGGGATTTCTGGCAGCAAACTTTTATTACTGTAATCAATACGAGTAAAAAGCTGTCAATCGCTTACAGTGAAGACTGCACTGGTGGACAGCTGCCCCCCATTGGGGAGCTAAGGCCTTCTCCCCACAGGTATAAACATACGATTGTTGGTAATTATCAGGGGGGGTCCACTAATGATATGTTTTAGTTGCAAATTCACCTTCCCGGCGGCTTCTGTGTATCCCTTAGTACAGCCAAATTGCAAATTGGGAAACCTGATCCTTGTGTGCCCCGTCAAGACTTGAAAGATCGCCCAAATTTGGCTGCAGACTGTAGTCTTTCTTGCCCATAAGCAATTAGGCAAGAAAAAAACCAAAAACAAAGAAAAATGAAGAAAAAACATGAGCAAAGCCGCATAACTGTGCCAAGGCGACCCATTCCAAGCAGCAGAAGAAACGAGGCAACATTTATTTTCAGAGCCGTTTTGTTGCTTTTGGCCAGAATATGCAAAGTGCGAATGTGAAACGAGAACCGTTAGAGCGTGAGAGAGATAGCAGCTAGCTGCACAGAGCACATGCATAGCTGTAATTTTAGAGGGCGCCCTAAACAATGTTAAACAGAGGCCAAAATGGATTCTATGGGGGAAATGGAAATGGACACGAAATATATCAAATTTCATGGGGAAGCACCATGTGCAACGACTTGCGTTGCGTTTGGGTTTGGGGCTGGGGTGAGGGTGAGGGTGAGGGCAAGAGGAAGCAGCTGCTACTACAGATTTCCATCTTCTCCGAAGTGGGTTTCCGATTACAACAGGCGGAAAAGGATGAGAGGATGATGCTTCGTTGAGTGGAATATGTGCCCAGGATCTTGTCCTGTGGCAGGTGGTCCCTCAAGGAAATCCGGAAACACTTGTTCCGCTCTCTTTCCAGACTCGAAAACTTCCTCAACTTCAGGCCGCTAACTAACTGAGAGGGATGAGGTGAGCGGGGAACGAGATAGCGATAGAGACAAAAGCAAATCCAGCTAAAATAAAACCCCACAGCACAAAAAGTCAACGACGGCACCAACTGGCACGAACCTGGCTCAAACCAACAACAATCACAAATATGCAACAACAAAGAGTAAAGCAAAAGCAAAAGCAAATACAAAGAGAGGAAAACCGAAAACAATTGCGAATTTTCGCATTTGGTAAAATGTTACAACTGTCCCACACATAAAACGCGAACAGAGCCCCCGAGTCATTTATTTAATTGCCCCAAAAAACCAAAAAAAAAAAACGAAAACAAACAATGTTAAAATGGGGAATACTCAGTTTGAGAATCAATAAGCATTAAGTAAACGTTGCGTGCTCGCAAGCTGGCCAGAGAGGGGGATTAAGACATTGAGGTAGTATTTGGATATGTACATGCGTATAGTATAGTATTCCTGATCAAAAAGTTAAAGAATCAATAATTACTTTGGTGAGGAAGGCATACACTCGTCAACTTCTCAATCTTCCTGTGTTGTTTAGTAGAGAGATGTATCTTTTCCACCTGTAATTATTACATTCCTCATTTGTTTCAGTCTCCCCTGTCATTCTCACTGATTGTTTTTGCTAATTGCCATGCCCTGGCAGCTTTGCAGCGAATTTGGGAACGCTAAAGAGATTAGAGACACTTAAAGCTAACGCACCTGTTTAAATATGTTGGTATCCAATTGGAGCAGCAGTGGCAGTGGCAGCAGCAGACCCGTTAATAAGACATTAATTTCATTAAAGAAAAGAAACAAATTTTCGCACAAACGTTGACACACACATGCAAAAAGACGCACACGAACACACACGACAACCGCAGAGCAGCAGCGCGCAACAGATGGATTTAGGGTGGACGGGGGTGGATAGATTTTCGATACGACTGCTACAGGTAGAACAGGTAGTCGTTGCTGTTTTTGTTGGTGTTGCACAAAATATACAAAAACAAAAAAAAATATTGTTAACTGCAGCACTTTCACTCAGGTTAGAGGCATTTCTTCACTCTTCGCTTCGCATAGGTGTTTTTTTTTGTGGTCTCGCTAAGGTATTGTACGCGTGCGTAACGTTGGCAACCACCAATCTTGGCTCTGATTTTTCCGCCTAAACTGGCTCGCTCCGAACGACGAAAATTGTTTGTCGAAAGGCCCGACTGATTGCGTTTGGTTTAAATGCAGTTTTCAATTTCTTTCGCCGACGACTGCACCTCAGTAACCGTAAATTTGCGAAAGTTTGGGAGTGATTGACGATATTTTAGATGGTATTTTTTTAGCGGAAAATATAGATATTTTTTTGAGATATCAACGGAATTCTCTGAATTCTTAAAAAAAAACGGCACCGTCTTGTTGTTTCATGGTTCGCGGCTAAAATTTTTGTGAGACAACCATACCGTCCGACCCTCAGAAATATACCAAAATATACCATCTCAATGTAAAAATATACCGTAAATATACTGACGAGTTCAAGTTACATTATACATATTCCTCGTTTTTGATATTCCGTCAAATATTACTAGCTAGATAAGACCCACAGCCCTGCCCACATAATTTTATCATATTAATGAATCAATTTTCTACTTGACTGGCTTATTTCAAATACTTGACTTGTTTTCCTGCTACTACGATTGCTTTTAATTTTTTTGCCACAATTTTAATGCCTCAACAGCAATATAGTGTCGCGTATATCGACCTTAACCTACTTAACCCCCCTCTATTTAAACAGTTCAACGACTTGATGTAAATGGCGGCAAATATTACTGATTGTAAATTCTTCTTGTAAAGTCATGCCATCTTCCTCTGAACTTAAAACAAAAACACGATATTATTCACATGTACTGCGAAAAAATTATTGAATTTTCGTTATTTTCGGTGGATTATTACAATTTCCCCTTGGTTTGCAATGGGTTAATCGTTCTCTGTGAAGGATTGGAAACCATTTTCCTCGATTTTGATATTCCGTGGAATACTACCACCTATCTAGATCTTTCAGCCCTGCCCACATAATTTTATACAATTAATGAATCATTTTTCTATTTGACTGGCTTATTTTAAATACCTCTTTTCCTGCTATGATTGTTTTTGCCTCAATTTTAATGCCTCAACAACAATATAGTGTCTCCTATATCGACCTTAGCCCATTTAATCCCCCTCTATTTAAACTGTTCAACGACTTTAGGTAAATGGCGGCAAATATTACTGATTGGAACTTCTTCTTGTAGATTCATATCATATTCCTCTGAACTTAAGAAAACCACGATATCGAACTCCGCTAAAATTATTCAATTTTTATTAATTTCGGTAAAATATTACACTACCCCCTTGGCTTACAATGGGCTAATCGTTATCCGTCAAGGATTGGAAACCATACTCCTGGATTTTTATATTCCGTGGAATATAACTAGAAAGATAGATCTCTCAGCCCTGCCCACATATTTTATCCAATTAATAAATCAATTTCCTACCTGACTGGTCAATTTTTTATATTTGCTTTTATTGAATTTTGTCTAAAAAAGGCTTTAGCGAAAAAGTAAAAAAAAAAAATGTAATTGAGTAATCGTTCCTATTGATCAAGTTTGATATTCCGCTGAATAATGCTGGCTAACTAAAACCCTCAGCCCTTATCCCATTGATGAATAAATTAACTACTTTTAAGTACTCCCATTTATTGTATGTTTACTAAAACAAGGTTTTAAAAAAAAGTCTACAAAAAACAGTCGGAATTTTGTTGCACTTGTTGCACATCAACCGGAATATGGTCATTTTCTACCATATTTCGTTAATTTAATATTAAGATACATACTAGTTTCCAAACTGTTTTTAAAACGAAATTTGTAAAAAAAAATTGTCTCAAATTGATTTGTTTTAGACGTGCTTTTCATGCTTTTAATTAGTTTCCTGTATACCCTGATCCCAATACTCATTCTCGGTCTCTGTAAGCCTTCAAATTAAAACACTACCTTCAAAATATCATTGAAATACTTTAAAACTGACTTGAGACTGACTAGTTTCTGCATTTATGAGATCCTGGGATATCATCCACCAACATGTCAACTGGGCTATAAATTCAAAATCATTTCTACTTTTCACCAACTGAACCTTTATTTTTGAGAAATTAAAGCAAAGGACAGTTTAAATATATATTGCCTCACTTTAGAACTTTATTCTTATTTTCTAAAACATAAGCTACGAGCACGAAGTACACAAAATCGCGTATTTAATCTCTTTGCAAGTTTTCTCTCACTTTTCTCGTCTATTTTTTAAAAACTTTCCTAAGGCCAAAAATGTGTACAAAATATTTGTTTTGTATTAAATTAATCTGTCTTCATTCTTCTTTCTGTTGAACGGAGGGCTATGTTTTTCTTTCTTTGCCAGTCTCTTTTTTCGGCTTGAATAAACTACTTAATTAAAACGATTATCAAAGATCTGCGACTCAATGTCCTGCTCCGACGGAAGCTGGTCACGATTAAACGTATTCTCTTCGCCCTTCAGCAGACGCTGATAGACCTGAATGGCACGTCCAGTGCGCAACTGGCGATGCTGCAATAGAGAGGCAAGATTAGGTGGCTGGGCGCCCAGGGCTTTGGACCAATCGTTCAACAGGGCCTGGGACTCATCCATTTGGATTACCTCTGCATGCTCGATGCTGTGCAGTAGCTTGTAGTTGGTCAGAAAGTCGCCAATCTTCTCAGTTAGCGAATCGAACAGCACCACATGAGTGGGCAGGGCAGTGCGAGGATGGATCGGTATGTGTGAGCTCAGCCAGTGATTGGGAGACTCATAGAAGCGATCTGCTTCATCCTTAAAGTTCTCCTGATTCTTCAGATTCGGCTCGCAGGTGAGAAACCTCATGGTAACATTCTCGTGAATGTGGCTACAGGAACAGGCAAAGATTAGCTTGAGGATTGACAGAGGTCCAAATAAAACTCACCTGTAAAACGGTGTCGAGTGGCATGGCATTAAGAAGAGTATGTTAGCCCGGTGTTCGCGCTCATCACGATATTCCTGGGCAATATCCCTTAGTTTTGGCATCAGATCGATGGGTCCCTTCTGGTGGACCGTGCTCAAGTACCAGGCGGGCAGCACATTTCCTAATAGAATCACAAATGCGCTGCACCAGAGCATTGTGGATGAGGCACGGTAGCTCCAGCGGGACACGGCATCCACGCACACATACAGGCACAAGGGCAGCAGCGAGGACACAAAACGGAACTCCTTATGCTCCACCGTACTCAGCACGACCAGTGTGAGGAAAATGGTAATCAGTAGTTGCTTGCTAACCTCGTGCTTTTCCGATTTGCGGACTGTTTCCATGATGCCGTATATAAACGGGAGAGTGTTGATGCCCAGCACTGTGGGTAGGCCGACGGTGAAGTACCAATACCACGGATGCGAGCCATAGAAGCTGCCAATGTTGTTGAATATGTTGTACTTGAGGAACTCGTACGGCGTCACAATGAGGTGGCCGTGCCAGTACGTGTCGATGGCAATGCCCAAGCCGGCAACAAGTAAGCTGAAATAAAAACCACAAGAATTAGTAACAACATTTACCCAAAAAAGGCTCCACCACTCACCCGATGACCAAGAAACGCTTCAGGATCAACTCCACCACGGACTGCCGACTCTTGCGGAGATGATAGATCGACAGAGGAAGCCAGATCACAGAAGCCGTGGGACGCAAGAAGCAACAGATGGCAGCGGGCCACAAATATGCGGTTCCCTCGCCATACCACGGGAAGTAGCTCAACGCAATTGTGGTCAGCGATGCCTCCAAGGTGTTGGCCAGCGTGCGCGAGCCAGTGTAGAACCAGAACCAAGGCACCAAGATCAGAAACAAGGCCCACTTACGCTTGCCGGTCCACACATAGAAGCGATAGTCGGAGTAGGCCGTCAAGGTGGCCTGGAGGATGCGCGGCAACAACACCAGCAGCTGAACGCTGTCCAGATGGAGCAGAGCAAGCAGTTTGTACAGTCCGGCAATTAGCACGGGATACACATAGCTGCGTATGCCCTGGACCCACTCCCATGTCAAGTAGCCATATCTAAAAAATATATATTTATAAATGATAATCGTTGGAGTGGCTGTCGCTGTCGCTGTCTCCTACCCAAAGGTCAGTTTGTGGGCCACTTCCAGACTTTGCCAGTATTCGTCGGGCACGTAATAAGTCTTAACCACGAAAACGGAAGCCAAGCGAACGGCCAGAATCAGCCCGAAAACGTACAGCAGATTCATCGCTGCGGGGGGCGCTCACACGCTTCTTGCGAGGGAAAAGCGCGTGTGTGGTAGTCTGGTCAGGTTAGTACAGCCGTTGCTGTCAACTGAAATGAGTAATGAACGTTGGCCGTGCCGTACATTTACATATTTATATTTTGGACATTTGTTGTTTGCGGCAATCGAACCTAACCTTAAAAAACGGCCACCGTCAGAGGTCGGCCGTGGCGACGAGGTGCGTGTATATTCGATTTAAAAGACGACACACTGTCGTTTATTCTCACAATATTTTTCTATTTTAGCGACGACAACGAAACGACACAATTTTTGGCGGCCTATAAATAACGCGAATAGAAGACCAAAGCAAAAGTGGAGACCGACGCCGACGCTGTCGTTGTGCTGCGCAGGGCTGCTGTGAACCGTTTCGAAAGTGATATCGATATATCGCCAGAGAGGGAGCCGCCGTGCAGTTATGTGGCACATTGTTTCCACTGCTCCGATGCGAAACGCCGTTTCACGTTTGCTCATCCATCAAAAGCATCCAGCCACAGTATTGGCAACAAGCCTCCCCCGAAATTATGGCCGGGGGCGACATTGGAACAATTTTTTGGCGAAAATGTTTGGCAAATATTTGGCCGTTACGAATATTGTGGGGTCCGGACTTCTGCTGGTGGCCGGCGACGCAGTCACACAACAATATGAAAGAGCCGTTCATAAGAGATTGTTCGACTTTCACCGTTCGGGATGCATGTTCCTAACGGGTTTGGCTGTTGGCCCAGTGCAGCATGCATTCTACAGTCACCTAGATGTATACCTGCCGGATTCGAAACGTATTACTGCAGTGAAGAAGATCTTTTTCGATCAGATGTTCATGTCGCCAACATATATATTTCTGTTCTTCTATGTATCCAGCCTGCTGGAGGGCAAAACAATCAAGGAGTCCAATGCAGAAATTCGCGAGAAATTCCTATACACCTGGATGATCGACTGTTTGATCTGGCCAGCAGTACAGTACCTGAATTTTCGCTTTCTCAATCCCAGGCATCGTGTGGTCTTCATAAACGTGACCAACTGTATGTACATAGTCCTGCTCTCTTATATAAAGCACGATTGGGCCCTCCATAATCAAAATCCTGAAATAAAAGAAAAATCCGACTAGAATCCATACATCGATTGCCCCCTCACTCATCGATTTTCATTTCAAATCAACCCTTAACAATGATAGAAATCAACACTTTCGTAACGTAAATGGAAAAAAGAGAGAAAGAATACAATACACAAAGAGGAAAGAAGGACGGTAGGGAGACGAGCGTTAATTTTGAATTGTCTGCCCGCCGCCTGTAGGCTGTGCAGTGCAGAATGTTGTCCATCCGCTGCGTACGGCTGCTGCCCTGGGGCCCGAATCCGCTCCGGCCGCTCCTAGCCAAACAAATCGATGTACCTGTCGTCCATCAGCGTTCCTTCACAGCCCTCTCCAGAATCCGCACACGAGTACCTGCTGATGTAATCGCTGGAAGAGCATGTGGCCGTCGAATGATCAGTGGCAAGACGGGCGAGCCCCTGACACTGCTCCTTCATCGCTGGACGAAGCTGGCGTGGAGCAACATGTTCGGCAAGTACCTGCTGGTCACAAATGTGTTGGGCTCCGGCCTGCTCATGGTCGTGGGCGATGTGATTGCCCAGGAGTACGAGTATCGCAGGGGACTGCGGCGACACGATCGCTATGATACGGATCGCATGCTCCGCATGTTTGTAGCCGGAGCACTGCAGGGACCACTCCACCACTACGTCTACAACTGGATGGATCGCATTATGCCGGCGCGCACCATGAAGAACATTGCCAAGAAGATACTCATCGACCAGCTGGTCATGTCGCCCGCCTGCATTCTGATATTCTTCTACTCCGTGTGCTATCTGGAGGGTCAAACGCTCGAGTGCACAAACAATGAGCTGATTGGGAAATTCCCCTACATATATTTGCTGGACTGGATGACCTGGCCGGCGGCACAGTATCTAAACTTTCGTTACCTGGACACCAAATATCGCGTTACGTTCGTGAACATCTGCACGGCCGTGTACAATGTTCTGATTTCCTACATGAAGCATGACTTCGGTATACATTTGCCGCTGGAGCAGGAAACACAACCAACATTCGTTGAATCACTCAGCCAGGGATTAAGAGCGCCCCCGGCAACAGAACCAAAATCGGAAGCAGACACAGCAAACGACAAAGCCACACCGAAGAAAACGCACTAAACACCTTAGTACTTTTTGTGATATTGATAAACGATCCAATCTAAATTCTTAAGTCTACGACGACTATGTGTAATTATTTGTGCACATTTGTTTAAAGAAAAGAAAGAGGCTATTAGTAAAGCTAAAAATATATATATATTCCCCCATTATTATCTCATCTAGTCGCCTGCCTGTCACATTACTTGATCTCGATGGTCTCCACGGGTTGGATGCCAAAGATATGCTGTGCCAGCATTAGCTGCTCCTGGGTGATGAAGTTCGCTAGGAGTGTGATGATATTCTCATTGCAGCGTGCAATCTGTTGCCTGGTGATGGTCTTAAACTCGTCCCTGGCGCCCTTGTCCGCTCCCCGAGTGCCGATGCGACGGGCCGGCGCACCAGCACTGGCCGGCCCACCGCTCGACACACCTGTGGGTGAACCAGTTAGCTCGAAATTGGAATCCTCCACCTGGGAGTTCCATATGTGCGAGAGTTCCTCAATCAAATCGATGCCAATGATGTAGGTGGAAAGGATGCGCAGATTGAACGACTTGCGTTGCTTGATCACGCTGAAGATCTGCTGGGTGAGCCGCAAGTCGTTGAGAAGATTCAATTGCTGCAGCACCAGGAGATCACCAAGCAGACGATCCGAGCAGTTGGGCTCGTATACCTGGCGGCTGATGCGACTAATGATGGCTCCCGTGCAGTATTGGACGAGGGCGGCTCGAGTGAGGGGCAGAAAGACCATGTGACGATGACCCTTGAGCGTCATGTTCTCCAACAGATGGCCATTTGTGGCGGGCAGCTCGCCAATGATCTTCAATATGCACTGGAAGCCCTGGAGCTAAAGGGGAAGGAGACAACCGTGAGAAAGATAAGCCTCCAGTTTACGGGAAACGATCTACTTACAGTCATGCTCCCCTGCATTAGATTGAGACTGAGGATCTGCAGGCTCTGCACCAAACTGCTCTGGGTAGTCATTTCCCCCATCAGTTTGTTGGCCTCGTCGCGATGGCCAAAGTAAATGGCTAGATCGAAGAGGAATCGCGATATCCATGGCGCCAGCGGCAGGGCCACCATCAATTGGCTGAAGTCCCGCTGAAATTGATCCGTGTTGAGCAGCTGCCAGCACTGGGCCGCGTGCAGAAAGGCATTCGACAGATCCGGACTGATGGGCGTCGTCAGCGAGAACTTGGGCGGCTCCATGGTCTGATCCTCAGAGCCGTCGCCATCTGGCGCCCACTCAATAAAGCCTTCGACCAGCACATGACTGACGTCCGCATCATCGATGCGCAGTCGGCAGTTGCGTATGTAGCCATGCAGCGAGTAGATGAACAGGGTGGTGGCATAGAAGAGCACCTTGGAGCTGCCCGGTGGACTGGCGGACAGGATGTCCACCAGCTTCTCCCAGTATACATTCTGGCTGCCCTGCTTACTGAAGGGCAGGAATGGTTCCCAGCCCATCATCTGGCCGCAGAGCATTAGGACTTTGAATATAGTCTTCCAGGGGTCCGTAGGTTCCGTTTCCGAGTCCATTATCTGACGCAGATAATACTCCAAGGAGTTGGTGTAGAGCCTGCAGGCCAGCACTGGTGGCAGCTCGGGGGGCTTGTGCTGTATCATCGGCAGCACATCCTCGACCAGTATGCGCTGATACAGATCCGGATCTGTTGTCATGCCCTCGGCCAACAGCTCGAGGAGACGCGGAGCGTGCGTTGTGACAGACTTGGGGAATTTCATAAACATCAATATATAGATGCAGATGCACTGCTCCAGATCGTCGCCGCAGTGGTTGATGGTATGCATGAATATGTTGTGCTGCACATCGGGCGTCAAATGCTTGTACATCTTCACAAAGAACTCTTGCTCCGGTGTGTTCTCGCTCTCGTTCCTTAGGGCATTGGTCAGGGCGTTTATTTCCTGCCACAGCTCTGTATGCTGATTCGGAAAGTTGGTGGCTCTGCAAGCCCATTCATTTGATTAATATTGCATTGATTTTATCTTATTTACTCACATGACACTGAAACACTTGGCCGCCTCCTCGTAGTTCTTGCCATCGCGCTCAAAGAGGTACGCCTCATACTGCACATTGAATGCAGCAGGATACAGCGTCTTGGCCGTGATTATCCAGGCCTTGGCTGCACAGGGATCCCTCTTTCGCAGGCTCTGCGCCTGCTTAACCATGTACAATTCGTTTTCCTCGTTGTTGCGCATTATTTCTTATTTTTTGTCAACAAATCATTTAGCCGGCAGTAGAAGTGTCAAACCATCGATAGTATCGATACTATCGAGCACAAACAACACAGAAAACAAAAAAAAACGAAAGAGGATAGTCGTTCTTATTGTTCAATTTTGATATTCCGTCGAATATTATTAGCTAGATAAAACAATTTGCCATGCCCACATAATTTTATACGATTTATGAATAAATTTTGTACTTAACTGGCTTATTCTAAATACTTGCTTTTATTGGATTTTGTCTAAAAAAAGGTTTTGGCGAAATAGGTCAAACAAAAGAAGGTTTTAGCGAAATGGGCCAAAACAAAAAAAAGGATAGTCGTTCAGATTGCTCAATTTAGATATTCCGTTGAATAATTCTGGCTAACTTAAACCCTTAGTTCTGCCTATATAATTATAGTTTATTTTCCTGTTCTTAATTAATCCAGCTATAATTCATATATTTGCCACTAACCAACACAGCTCTCTTAAGTATTTTACAACCCTGGCTAATCGATAGTCGATAAGTGGCACAGCTGATGCGAAATTTATATATTTTTTTGTTTGTTAACTTCGTGTGATTTTTGCAACTAAAACTAAATATACTAAACAAATTAAATGAGCAACGATGATGCGGTCAACGTTGTGAAATATGCCGGTGACCAAGCGAAAAGCGATAATTCGTGGGCCTACGCGCGGAAGTGAGAGATGATCAATGCAGGGATGCTGATCACATCGCTAAAATCTTTTGGATATACAAAACAAAAACTATTCGTCGGAATCAATGTGTGTATAGAGGAGCAGACAATTTCCCTATAAATACAGTCATGTCAAACAGTTGTGTTCATTCTAATTTGGAAGGAAAGACTTGGTGCACACGCCAAATATTTATGTTGATACAAACGTAGCTTGCTGATTTTGATTGTCATGCTGCTAAGCAATGACATTCCAAGAGTATAGTCAGAGTTGAAGGAACCAAATTCGTACGTAATAAAAATAGAATGTCAGAAATTAAAACAGATCCCGCGACCAGAGAAGGGCCCTCAACATCTGGGACACAGCAGCAGAAGCAGCAACAAGTGTCTGCACCGGGCACCGCCAAGCCGCCAGAACACGGTGGGTATTTCATATTGGTTATCTATAGGTAGTATTTACACTGCACTCACCTCTGGCAATTCATCGATAGCGAATGTTGCGAGAATGTTCTAGCAGTAAGAAATCCTATTGTTTAATTTATGATACGTAAGTGCATATGTATGTAGAATAACTAATTCCAACGATTTGTCTTACTTTCGCTGTCGCTCAACTTAAAGAGTTTCGTATTTTTAGTTTTTAGCTGTAACAGTATACTTTGCGTAACGGTATTTACCGGACAGTGTTGCCACACATACCATAATCGTAAATAATTGCCCGCGATTTGAGTTGGTTTCGATTTGAGTTTGAGTTTCGTTTCGTTTCGTTCCGTTTCCTGTGTGTACATATATATTCGTTTGTAGTGTAACATGAGAATGAACTTTTGAGTTATTGCATCCATCCCGCACGCAGCAGGTTAGTTTCTCCTTGTAATTTTCATCTTTTGAATACCAATCCAATCAAAAACACAATCACCCACTAACTAATCTTTGAAATTCTCATAGAGAGCACCCAGAAATAACATATTCAACAAAAAAAAACCAATCAGACCGAAGTTATTGAAAAAAAAAACCTCATTACAGCGGCTGGGACCAAGAGATGGCCGCTGGAGCAGATCCCCAAGGAGAACAAAGAGCCTCCTCTCGACATCGAACATGCCACACCGGAGGCTGTGCCGCTGCATATGCTCCAACTGCTGGACCAATGCAAGGGCGAAGTTCCCAAAATCTCCTCAGCCGAACTTATGATGCATCTCATCTACCTTGTGGCCCTGGAAAGCGGCTTTGTGGAGAATGAGACCTACAACCAGACGCGCCACAAGCTTAAGCCGGTGCCCTCCTTCAGCAGTTTCCATGCCGGCAACGTGCGGATTCTCAGCCTCGAAACGATCCACTATGTAGTCGGATTCAACGACACCATGTTCACCATTAAACTGCGCACGCTTCAGGACAAGCATGCGACGGAAGAGGCCGCCCTGGTTGTTGCCATGCAGTCCACCCTTAGGGCCGTCCACCTCGGCGATGAGCTGATGGTTAGCCTCAGTCCCCCAGTGTCCTCCAAGCTTCCGGGCTATAGCATAGCCCTCAGCATCGCACGCTATGTCCTCAACATTCAGGCGAAAGGAAAACCGATCTTCAATCGCTTTCGCAAACTGGACAATCTCTCCTACCTGGTAAAGCAGCACATCTTTTATCCGATGCGCACCCAGCAACTCATGCAGGTCAATCACCAGCTGCTGCCCTCACTCATGGGCATGCCCGAAGAGCTCTACGAGAAGATATTTCGGCATCTCAGTCGCAGTGAACTGAAGATAGTGGCAAAGGTTAACAGTCATATGAATTACCATACCAAAAGGGTACTGCAGCGTTTCCATTCAAAATTCTCCTAAATTATCAGTTAATTTCTGTGAAATGAATCTTTTTTTTTTTTGGTGTATTTGTAAACATTAAATATATTTAGTGTTTAAGGCATAAGGTGTGGTTCTGTTTAAAGATCTGGATATATGTATGTACATATACATATACATAATATGTTAAAAAATATGTTTAAAATTGCAAAACAGAAAAGACCTTTTAAGAATATATATTTTGGGAAATAAAAAACCAATGTAAAAAGCATTCTCTTATACTTATATCACCTTTGAATATGTATGTTATTATTTTGCACCTTTTATCCTTACCGCCTGCATGTTTTTGTGTTCTTTTCTTTTTGCATTTTCCGTTCAGTTGTGGAGCCCACAACGCCATCGGCTGAGTCATGTGATTCCTATAATATATTTGAGCCATCGCCGACACCAATGCCATTGGACTGCATCAGCATCAAGAGCAGTGCCAGCAGTTATTTCTACGATCGTGATACCATAGGTAAGTGTGATCTGATCATATGCACCCCTCTATGTACCCCATGTACGCGCGTATGTATACCGGTGAAGAGAGTGCCTGAATTGAGTGTGAGAGAGGGGTAAACGCCCCTAGGCGAGTCGGCCCTTAACCACAGAAGTGCAGAATGTGTAACAAGCGGCTCCAGCCGCCAGCAGGGAAAACACTCTCAGGAGCCGCACCTCCCACGCCCCACGCCCCACACCTCGATTCGATATTTTATGCGCACGCAAAATCCGCAAAACCCACGCGAACGACGACACCATCCAGAGGACCCCCTTTTGAAGGACCCGACCCATTGGAAACTTCCCCTTTTGTGGGTGGGATGGCGATGGCATCCACAATTTGGCTTTCTACCTCGTCGTCGGGCATCCAGCGACACTTGCTGCTCTTTTCTGGGCTCCTATTTCGTGTTTATATTACGATATCGACTTTCTCGGTGACCTTATCACTGAAATAATAAAAATAAGAACAGCAGCGGGTAAAAGGCAAGCCCAGCATCCCTGGGAAAGTCCCCACTGCACTTTTCTGCGTACCACCTTATGCTTTTGGGGCTTTCCCTTGGGTCCTGTCGAAATTATCCTGCTACAACTTTATCAAAATAACGAACAACAGTGACAAATGCATAAATAAATTATAGCAACAACAAAAGGAGAAGCATATTCCTTTGGGTCCCCTCTCTCTCTCTCTCTCTCTCTCTTTCTCTCTCTCTGTCTAGCTCCATCTCCCTCTGACAGCTTCACAATTTTATTTTTAAACATTGCGTCTCCTGAAAAGCTCTCGAGAGTAAAAGCTTTTGTGGGCTGCTCTTGAACGGGTCCGTCCTCGTCCTCGTCCTCGGCCCCCAGGAGCAGCTGTTTGCCTCGGCTCCCGCCCCTCGCGTCCGCCCACAATCCCGATGGTTGGGTGAACGAACCCCAGCGGAGTTCAGTGGGCCGCATGCATCTCAAGGGCACAGTGGGCATAGGAACCCCTTCAAACTCGATTAGACTTCAATTTTGGGAAAACTGGTTATTTCCCGAATTCAATATTTAGCATGGTCTTAATTGCCGCTGATAAAACGCTGTTGTGAGGAATCACTACCTTAGACTAATAAATGGTATCTTATCGCCAGTAAATGGCCTAAAATAATTATCTGTTCAGTTATGTATATGCTTATTTCGCTTAGCGGCATGATGAATCGCTTTCTGTTTTATTGAAATGCATTCGAATTTTCTAGAATCGGTTATGAATCAGTTTTTGGTTGGAATATCGTCTGAAACACTTCCTGTAATGGACTACAAATATTCTACTACTCTCAGAGCATACATCAAAGTCTGCGACGCAATTATCATATCTTATCTCTTTCTAACACACACATTGCCGCACAGGAACACGCTCAACGCGTGCTCTCTTCCTCTTTTCCCTTTTGATCCTCGCTGAGCTAGTCGTCTCTCTCTCTCTCTCTATACGCACTCTCTCTGGTCCACCGTCTGTCTCATTGTTGATTAGCTCACGATGATATACAAGGTGATCCGCTCCCGCAACGCACTCTCTTTTCGGGTCCTATTTTACTCAGTACAATAGCAATCCTCGTTTTGGTCTCTTTTTCATCAAATATGGCGTCAAAGCGCTGAGCGTAATATAAGACCCGAAAGAGAGTTATCGGACCACTTTATATAAGACCATGGACGAGAATAAGCTGGCAGAGCAATGGGAAAGGCAGTGGACATCGGAGTGGATATCGTATCGGAGATACTATTGGAGCGTTGCGGATAGAATAGACCCTTGCTGTGCCACCCCAATCAATATGATATTTTCGATGGTAGTGTTTCAGAGTAAGAGTTCGTAAAGGTATTTTATTTGTGTGTAAGCCTCCGCCATCGACATAGTGATCGAGTGGAGGCACCAGCGTTGCGTGCAGATCGATTGGTGGCTCCCAAATAGCGTACGGATCGAGGGATGCTGAATTCAGCGCGACAGTTACCAAGAGAAGCAATTGCTTTCTCCTTCTCTTACCTTAGTAGGGGATTTTCCTTCTCTGGATTGCAGAGTGTGTGGGAATAGTGTTTGTAGTTGGATCTATTGGATCTGTAAGGCACAACGAATGTACATATTTATGTTCGACTGAAGGCGGTTTGTGTCTCGATGGACAAAATAGAAGGCTTCAATCATAATCTTTTTCAGTGGAGTTTTCATTTTGACCGACGATAAACACAGTAAATTGTAATGGCCCGCTCCCTCTCTCTCCCACGCATTCTTCCTCGTGCAGTGTGCGCCCTCTGGCGGGAGCAGGTATAAATGTAGAGCCGCTGCCCTTGCCGCAGCCCTCTACGTTCCCGCTCGTTAGGAATCAAATGAAGAGCTTTTTTTAGGTTTGGAATAAATATATGATGAATTTCTTTGAGACCTTAAAGTCTAGTATAAAAGTTTAGCTACTTATAATTTTTGCATTTACGATAATATTTTTCCTATTGTTTATTATTTGTTGAAAATCTCCGTATGCAGTGCTTTCCACAGTCACAGATTTGTCCCACTGTGCGGGGGTCGTCACTGATGTTAAACTGTGCCAAAGTTTTCATTGCTGCGTCTCTCTCTGCCTCTCTCTCTCTCTCTCTCCATCGCTCTGCCTTCGTGTTTTCTGTTGTTGGCATTACTTTTACGAGTATATTCGCAACGGTAAACAGAGCCCAGGCCAAAGCCAGAGTGGGGAGGGGGTGGCAGAACATACGCTTTTGGATGGGATGCAAGTATAAACAGAAGAAGCTGCAACCCATTCCACACTCCCCACAGTCCCCACAGTCCCCACTCCCCTCTCTGTCACTCTCGCTCTCTCCCTGTTGCTGGAACCGTTATCTGTGCTTTCTCTCGCTCTTTCTCTGGGAAACTCTCTCTCGCTCTCGTAGTTGATTGCGCTTTTGGCAGCAGCAGCAGCACCAGGCTACAGGGACGAACAGCTTTTTCACAGGATAACAAAGCTCCGTGCAATCAGTCGTCGTACTTTAGCTTAACGTCTCTGGTCGGTTGAAGCGGCACTTACTCCCCACTGGAGAGCCCTGTCCCAGAGAGTGCCAGAGAGAGAGATTGCTCTCCCTCGATATACCGTGCCGTTCGTGTCCGTTCGCTTCGCGTTGATTAAGGCCTCCTGGCTGTTGGGAAGTAGGTCTCCGGTGCTGACACACATACGGAGTGGCCTTCCCTCTCTCCCGCTTTTCTATAAATAAGAGCATCCGTCCGTCCGTCCGGCCGTCTGTCTGTCCGGGCCAGCCATCAGCTGGTTGGACCCTGAACGCGTACCGCGACACTTCTCAATTGCTGGCCAATTTGGCCTAAAGACGTGCGAGATGGCTTAATTGGAACGCCAAAACCCTGGCCCCGCGCGAGCTCTGTGGCAAAGCCAACCCCATTGTGATTGTCGCGTCCTTGGCACGCGGAATGCCAAATGAGCTGAGGGGAAATTCACGTACAGAACAGAACAGTTTTCCCTCAAGCTGGATTATAGCGGAGACAGCAACGGACCCTGGGAGAAGCAGACCCAGAGCCAGAGCCAGAACGCAGCACAAACGTGTGGCAGCGGCAGCGGCGGTGGCAGTGGCGGCGACAATGTTGCAACAGTGGCAGGCAAAAGCAATGAACAGCTGCAGCATGATCTGTTGCAGCAGCTGCAGCAGCAGTTTCAAATGGCCGCCGTGCACCAGCAGCAGCAGCGACAGTTGCTGCAACATCAGCACTCACATCCACCCTTTCAAGCCCCCTTGCAACAGCTGCCGCAACAGCATTCGCATCACTCGCAGCAGCAGCAACAGCAGCAGCAGCAACAGCACTCCCATCCGCAGTCGCATCATCCGCCGTTGCAGCATCACCTGTCGTTAGGTGGCGCCCCAGTGGGCTATCAGCACTTGCAGATGCAATTGTTGCAGCAGCAACAGAATGCCACAGCCACGCCCACCGCCCGCCATTGTCAGTACTCGACACCGCAGCATCATTATCGCTCGAATCCCGGATCCGCATCCGCCACCGCCTCCGTCTCCTCCACGTCAGCCACATCCGTGTCAGCATCCAATGCGGCAACCATTCGACGTCGCACCCTCAGTCATGTGGCACGTTCCTATTCCCTGTGCACCTCCACAGGTGCTACTGCAGCAGCCGCAGCAGCAGCAGCAGCAGGAGGTGGGGGCGGCGGTGCTGCCTCCTCGGCTGTCACTCTACCCACAACATCGACGACCATCACATCATCGGCATCCTCGTCTGCAGCAGCAGCAGCAGCAGCGACCAGTGGCAACCATTTGAGCATCGGAGGGCATCGCCACCACAAGACGGGCATTATGGTGGCCGCCTCCCGTTGTCGCAGCCCCATAATGCTCTGCCACAGCCACAGCGACGGGGAGTTTCCCATGTATCGAGGTGAGTCCCCGGGTTCCGGGTTCCGGGTTCCGGCTCGGAAGCTGCAGGACATTTTGATAGCTTAATTAGGTGCCACCCAGCAGGGTGTCCGTCAGTCAGCCGTCTGATGCAATTGCTTGATGGATGCAACAGTTTGACAGGACAGCAGAGAATTGGGTTTTGGATTCGATGAGGGTATGGCAGATACAAGCCGGGAATGGGATGCCACGTCTTCCGGTAGTTTTTGCTTGAA